CAAGCAATCATATGCAAATACATATAAATACTCTATTTATATATATATATATATATATATTATCTTACATTATGTAAGACATTGTGTGTGTGTGTGTGTATGTATATATATATATGTATGTCAGAGAACGCATATTTTCTACAAAATTTCTCAAGTATTCAGGCTGGTAAATGTAATTAATGCTGTTTAATTAATAACAGAGCATTTACTTAAATAAATTGTATCTATAAAAATAATGTATAAACAGAAAATATATTAGATATTTGATAGACTTAATCCATTTCATATATATATATATATACGTGTGTGTGTGTGTGTGTGTGTTAAAGTTTTCAGAATATTTCTGTAGTGAAGACAAATAAAATGGACAATCTGAAAATAGTACTTAGTCCTTGTTGATGCGTTTCATCATTCGAGTTTATCAAGGCAAGTGATAAAGAAACAAAAGCAAAATGTTGTGTAACTACATGAAATTCAAAAATTCTGTGAAAGCCTCTTTGTGGATATTAGTAATTTTTTCTTTGACAAAGTGGGTGTTTGTGTTTTCCATGTTGACAATGTATTAAAGTTCTCAGAACATATCTGTAGAGAAGACAAATTGAATAAAATAAACAATCAGAATATATATATATATATATGTGTGTGTGTGTGTAACAGGGCACTGACACTGGTTAAATATTTAATTATATGAAATTGCTAGATGATTATTTGGATGGACTACTAAGTGGATTATAATGATTAAAATTCTCAGAAATACAGGTTGAAGCATTGAGAAGAAAAAAACAAAAAACAATTGTTTTAAACAAAACAAATTTAAGAATAGTTCTAAAGAGAAGTGAAACCAGAATTAAATTAGCCAGAATTCAGTAAAATTGAGTAAAACCAAGGTTCCCCACCTATACACATCATGATTATTGAATTGTCTGTATTTTTTAGTCCTAAGAAATTAAATTTGGGGTTTTGTTTACATTCTTACTTTCTGTCCAAAACCTGTATATTCTTACAGAACAAAGCAACCTAAATACTTTTAAACAAAGAAAAGCATCTGGGTCATATCTAAAATCCCAACCATAAGGTTTGTTTACATTCATACTATCTGTTCATTCATATATTCTTACAGAAAAGAATTTACCAAATTCATTTAAACACTGGGTTATACCTAAATCCCAAACTTGGGGTTTGTTTATATTAATGTTGTTCACCAAAAACACCATCTTTACAGAAAGAAAGGACAGAAAATTGTAAAACAAAGAGAGAGCCATGGTTGTGGTTTACAAATTTGATATATCAATGTCAAATTTTAGGTGGGTGTCATCTATATAAAGAAAGGACCCAGGCAGATAAATAGAAGATTGAGCTCAATGAACAGAATCATCAGAGATTTGGTTTTGCTGCCACTTCACAAGAACATACATGCATTTCTGTGGCTGGAGTAAACACACAGACACACACGACAGTCTTGCTCCCACTTAATTTTATAGCAATTACTGCTGGAATTCTTAAATCACCGTCCGGGATAGGGGAGAACTTAATCTTTCAGTAAATAATAGAGATATTTTATTCACCTGGTCATTTTTTTTTTAATTCAATAAACCAGTTGTTAGAGATATCAACAGTATTGTGTATTTTTTTTTGAATGAGTTCTTATTCCAGCTCTGATTCCCAACGCTGTCAAAATTGACAAAATTTTACCACAGTCACAGATAGAAATTAAGCAATCTTGTCTGTAGTACATAATGTATATATTCAATCCATCACTAGACTTTGCTGTCAATCCCAATATTCTAAGATTTTGAGAAACCTGAATCAATTCTATCCAGATGACACACTAGCCCCAACCAAGGAAGGAAGGAATTAAAAAACTACAACACAGCCAACAAGATGGTTTATCAAGACGTGCAATAGATGTCTTCTTACCTGTTGGTGTTCCATATGATCCTCGGTATAAACCAGATTCAAGATTATACATGTCAACGTGACCAGAGCTATAGCCAATCAAACCAAAGTTACCACATGACGTCACTTCTACAGCCTACAAAGCAAAGAAATACATGCAGTACAATGGAGCAATGAGAAGAGAAGAAAATGAAGCCATTTTGTTTAGATATCTAAGATAACTGTTAAATATGAAGCCCATAGGAACAATAAACCTTCTTTTACCATCTTTAATATTAATCATTACTTTTATATTCAAAGTATATTTTATTGAAGAAATTTCTCTTTAATGTAAAGAAATAAAACACCTATCTGTTGATATCATAAAATAATTTATTTTCATACTTTAAATCAGGATATATTTACTTTGAGGCACTTTTGGTGCTTTTCATTCATTTTCAGTTTGGAAAATTTTTTACATATTGACTGATAATTAATAAAAAATATACTTATTATTTTGAAAAAGACTGCACCTGTTTTAAGTTATTACTTTAAATCTTCATGCAATGTGTTAACTATGAAGCCCAGTGGAACAATAAACCTTTTACCTTTTTTGAAATACAAATTAAAATGTGTAATTAATAATAAAATTGATAATATTGTTACCACATCATTTTGTATCATAAACTGTTTTTAAAAGAAACCCAATGGATTTATGGGTGGTTTAGTTAAATATTATTTACAAGGTTTTAGGATAAGGGTAGGAATAAAGAAGATAAGATAAAAGAGGATTTAAAAAGAAAAAAAAAAATGTAGTGTGGGAGATTTGACTTGGAAAACTTTCTACTTTGAGAAAATGAAGAGAGATGGGAAAGATTGTTTATGTGTGTTTGTGATAAAACAAAAGGTAAAGTAGTTAATCTGAATGGTCATTGCATGTGTAAGGAGTGTGATTTTCAATTGGAGCTTTACTTCTCTAGCCTTGTGTAAATATTGATAGAGAGTTCATTGTAGAAAGTAAGATATTTCTTTAAGGAGCATGGCAGTGAAACACAGACTATATATATATATATATATATATATTCTAAAATTATAACATAAATATGTTATAAAATCACTACAAAAATAGCCATTTTGTTTTAAATTTCATTTGTGTCTTATCAAGTAATGGTGTTGAATATAGATTCTATATTCAACATCATCACTTGATAAGACACCAGAAGTGTTGAAACAAAATGGCTATTTTTGTAGTGATTTTATAACATGTTATAATTTTAGAATAATTATATTTGCTCTACTCTGTATTGAGCACCCTTAAGAATAGTATTTGTTGGTTATTGGAATCTGTTCCATATACACCAATCTTATACTTGTGTGTGTGTGTGTGTATATGTATATATATATATATATGGAACACTAAATATTAACAAAAAGAAAGTGAAGACTGGTTCTCCCAGAATTCCCATTAAAAAAAAATTCTATAATGTTAAATTATATTAATGTTAAAAATTCTATAATGCTAAATTTGTATTTTTTTCTTTTAATTATTTGCTTACATTTATTAACCCATTAATGCCCACTACCAGATATTTTTTTAAAAAACCCTTGATGCCACTTTAAATACCAAAACTGCTCAAATCTGAAGTCTGCATGAAATTATTTAAATATTTCTGAAAATTAATTGTTCCAAGTAATGAATAAACTATTAGATTTTCATTGTTTATTTTTTTTTACAGATGTCACAACAATTTCAGAATAAATTTCATTCACTAAATGTGACAACTCATGAGACAGTATATTTTTTTATTTATATAATATTACTTCTGTCCCATAATAATTGTTCCATTTGTCTAAACATTTTATACACTAAATGTACCAACTATTATGGAACAGATAGTACAGTGACAGATTTGAAGAATATTCTTATTCCAATTGCATTGCATTTTCAAAATGGGGTTGTTATATTGGGAAAAAAAAAGAAAAAAAAAGCAGCTTGACTTCTTTACCCAGCAAAGAAACTTTTCAATTCCAATGCCCCATTAAATAAAAGTGGAATGATTTGGCTCTAATTCTTCTGCAAGTTCCCATGTTGTTTGTGTAGAATCTTTCTTCAAACATCATTTCTTCTACTTCATTAGTTATACAGTTCTGAGGTCTTCTAGAACATTCTTGGTCTTTGAACTCAAAATCACTTTTTTTTAAAATTCACAAACCAATTCCAGATACAAAGTTTTCACTTGCAATATAGTTTCAATCATTTATTTCCTAGCATCTGATATCTCATCCTGCCATTGAACAGAAAAGAGTAAATAGGGTCAAATGTGCATTTTATATTAAGCCATTAGTTTTATCAAAATTCTGGTACCATGTAGCCTAGTACTACCTGCTGCATGGTCAGGTCATCGATGACTAAACCAGTTCCCCCACCAGGTTTTTCTGGTGAGGAAGGTAGCTAGACACTCTGCAGGATTAAAAACAAGACACATTAAAGTGTGGATGAACCTTCTTGTAAGGTCAACAACAATCTTGCACAAGTTCCAAGCAGGTAGACTGGGATCCATACCTATGTATGCAGCCAGTGCAGTGATAACACTAGATCACTGGGTGAAGGGCTTCCTAGACTGAAATCAATGGCCAGGCATAGAGTTTCTCCTGATGGAATAAATAGTCACATTTTTGTCACAAAAACTAGCCTTCAAGTTTGAGTACATTGACTGTGGTTTGACCAAAAGAGGGATGGGCTCTTGCCAGATCTACTTGCTGAAGATATACCACACATGAATGAAGACCTCCTCGGCTTTCAACCCAGATATGTGACTGATGAGGAGGATTTGTCTATATAAAGCAATATTTTCACAAAGACATTTCTTAAACACTGTACATGCACAAGCAATAAACAGGTATAAACTTGAAAGACACTTCTAAGATTTTTTTAAATACAGAAGATGGCATTGGGAACTTTTACATCAACAGAATAAAATAAGAATCAAGTTAAGCTTCAAAAATATGCTTTTAAGTAGGTGCTGGAGGGGGGGTCGTCAGTGATGTAATTTGGGGAGTTTCAGGTCTTTCAACATCATACACCCCATCACCAAACTGACCCAATCAGGGGAGATCAATCCCTGATTTCTCCTCTCAATCAGACGTTAACAGCTACTTTGGCCTTTTTAATGAATTAGATGAAAAAAAAAAAAAAAAAAAAAAAAAAAAAAAAAAGGCACGTTTTCCACACACCCGATTGGATCTTTGTAACAACCCATCCACTGCTTGGACTATCTTTTAAATGGTCCACGGTGGGGACTGGCTTCTTTTCTTTTTCAGTGGATCGCAGTTTCAATGGATATCCAAGGAGGTAATCTAACATTCCTAAATTTAACCCTTTTTTCTTAAGTATGGTTTGATGTCTTACTCTAAATATTTGCCACTTTGATTTTATTTTATTTGTACTTTGAGGGTGGGGGGGGGGAGACTTAAACTCAACCCTACTATCATATTTTTATCGTTTAGCCTGAATCTTAACATTATTACAGGTCAGTTAAATGAATGTATTCACAAAATTAAAATAATTGTCCATAAACATGCTATACATTATGACTGTACACAAAAAAACAAAACAAACAAAACACCATAATATTCCATAAAATTGATTTAAAACTATTTACAAATTTGCAGTCGGTTAAAATACAATAAACTATGAAATAAGCCAAAGTGATTTTTTAATTCCCTTTTTTCCTGTTAGAATTTCTAAAACAAGGAATTATTATGTTACACAAATCTATTCTGACCAGAACAGTCATCTTTGTTGAGAAATGATAACAACGTACTGTTGCTGTTGTGTCATGATGGTTTTCTCTGTCTCGTGATCGCTTGAAATGGTCAAATTTGTATTTGCCCATAGTTGAACGCAGGTAGCTCCATGTAGTAGCCATCCTTCGACCACGGTGACATGCCAAGATATTGTCCCAATCACTTTCACGGCGTGGCTCTAAAAATAACAAAAACAGATATTGATAAATGAAAGTATAGAAAAATGTGAATTATATATGAAAGCATATATTTGCATCATGTCTATCTGCAAATGGCACATAAAGGTGCATGTCTTCAATACCTAAGAAGAAATTTGTGGAGTATCTATGTGATCGTGCTGAATTATTTTTAATCAAGTGTTTTGATTTGATCATCATCAGTATCTTCAGGCTTACCAGAACATTCCGAGTTTTCCAGATCAAAATTTCTACTTCTGAACTTATAGTCCTCTCAGCTATGGCACCATCTCCATAAATGGCACATATCATTTTTGCTGTTTGTAAAGCATTTTTCTTTTGCAGAAATAAAAGAGCATAAAAAAAACAAAAATGGTAAGTGAAATAAAAGCTTCATTTTAAAATTAAATTTATGACAAATTTGAACTCTCTTGGAGTAAATTCTTTCTGATGAAATAATACAATGTTCAAGCAATTGATGTGAATATTTCACATTTGACATTCATTGACCGAGCTGCCAGTACTGTTGATTGAAATTTACAAAATTTTTTCTTAAAACAATTTTCTGGAAGGTAGATTTCTTAAGTCAAGTAGCTGTTATCATCTTTCCAGTATTGATGAGGGTTTTCTTTCTAACCATTTTTTTGAAGTAGTATGGAATGTCAACATCATTACTTTCTTTTCAAGCTAAATGTGTTCTCCAGTTTAATTGTTGCTGAAAATCCTCAAGTGATGTGCTGTTATTTGGTACAGTCCTTTGTTTGTGATTCTGTAGCTCCAGTCCACAACATCTGAAGAATGATGGTCTTCACTCATTCAATGCCATTTTTAATCATTGATCTGAGAAAGTGGTTGTATACAGCTGACAGTTTAGATATTTTAGAAAGAGTTAAACAGAATGCAGTAATATGTTTTCTGCCATCCTCCTTCTGAAAAAAAATGATTCGCACATGTTAAGTTCACTAGAAAACAAATGGCTGATAATTGTTATGAATTCTGCTTAATCAACTTTTCAAAACATCAGTTTTGTGCTGGGGAAATGCTGCTTGCTCTCAGAAAACATATGAAGATATTATTTGATGAATTTTAAATTTATCTGTTGTGAAAAGAATCATTACATTTTTAGTTAGAAAAAAAAAAAAAAAAAAAATGAATTTGCTTTGTTGATTTGGCTGTGAATTTCCCACCAACACCAGTGTTGAGTATTCAGTCTCAACATATCAAATGCAGATTTTCAAGGAATACAATTTCCAACTTGGAAAAGATGGAACAAAATTTTCTTATTCACTCTGAATTTGAACTGGTGCTATATAAAAATAAACTTTGTAAATCTTGATAATATATAAAAATTGCTCTACCCACATTCAACCTTTCTACTTTCTTTTTCATCTACCTTCAAACTCTCAGAAGCAGCTTATGCCTTCCTTGTGAATGCTGAAATCCTTCTAAGCCTTTTAAAAACTTGAAAACCAAGGGGGTATAACTTACTTTTCCTACTGGTTAAAAAAAAAAAAAAAAAAAAAAAAAAAAATAAAAATCACAAAATTTATTTCTTTAAACCACACCTGTGTGCAAACATTATTATAGTCAGTTTTCAGACCATATGTCTTGAACCAGTTTTTTTTTTTTATAAGTTTTGAAAATCAAATTTTATATATGTATTTTTTTTTTTTAATAAACTCTCGGGTTTCATTTTGGCAGTATTTTTGCAACATCAATTTGAACCTCATTTATACAAAGTTTGACAAATCAAATTTTATTCAAGCCATTTTTTTCTGTCTGGCCATATAGAAGACTTTTTATTCAAGAGAATATTTATTAGTAACTTTCTTCCTTTAATAAATGTAAAGAGCCTTGTCAAAAGAAAGTGTAATAAACAAACCTAGTCAATTGTATAATTTTTTTTTTTTATTTACCTTTTAATTATTTTTATATAATTTTACGTTTCTTTGTTTATTATAGAAATTTTTATAAGCTTTCATTAATGAAATGGTATTACTTTCATTGAAATTTGTAAAATATTTTCTTTAAAACTATTTTAGGAAATTATACTTCTCAACTTCACTGTTATCTGATTTCTTCCAAATCTTGTGTTTAAGGTGGTGTGAAAAGGCAACATCTTGATTATATCATTATTTTCTCTCCTTTTTACAGGTGCTACCCATTTTTGTTGCTGTTGCTGCTGGAAGCCTTCAAGTGATGTGGTTTCTGTTATTTGGTAAGGCTCTTCATTTGCAATTTTGTAGCACCAGTCTATAGAATCTGATGAAGGATTTTGTCTCCTTTAATCTCCTCTAAAGCATCCATTCACTTGAAAGTATTTTTAATCATTGATCTGAGAAAATGATTGTATATGGATGAAAGTTTAGATATTTCTAGACAAGTTAGACACCATGTTTTGTTTGGTAAAATTCATTCGCTGAATGGAAAAAAAGATGTAAGAAAAAACTTATTGCATTAATATATCTGGCAATACAAATTCTACATTTTTCAAAAGTCAAACATTTTTTTTTACTTGGACAACAGAAAATGTCATCTTATATTTAAATCAAAGTGATTCTTATGAAAAATAAGACAATAGCAATGAAATAATTAATCTGAAAAAAATATTTTAACAAAATTTGTTTGTCCTGTTTTAACAAAGCTCTAAAATTAATTATTATTACTTACCTGCAGCAAATGCTGTGATAGGAGGCATTTTAATATCTTCTTTTGTTAAATTTGGTTGTTTCAAACGTTTCTTGTGGAATAAAGCACTTCCTAAACTTTTGTTGTATTTGTCATGAACAATTGAGAAAGATCGAAGTGTACTGTCTTGACCTTAAAAACAAAACAAATATATTTTCATTGGAAGATTATATAAAAGTTTCTTTTTTCCCCCTGGGAGAGAGTGGGAGAAGAGAGAACGTCAACCCCGGCCTATTCTGAACATAGAATAAGGTGCATACAAAAACAAACAAGACTCAAAACTCTGATGTGAAATTTGAAAGGAATCAATATTTATTATAGACAGAAAAAATAAAGAATAAGATACAATGTTTACAAAAAGGTTTTCCTTTTGTGCCTCTTTTTAGTAAAGGCCAATTAATAGATCAAAATTTTCAAATGTTACTTTTCAGAATATATATATCGTCAAATATATATATATATATATATACACTAGCAGCGTTGCCCGTACTTGATTCAAAAATTGTACGACTCATACAGCAATCGCTATCACTTGACTTAAAATATTTTTGCCCTTGCTTGCCTTTAAAGGAGTGCCCTTTGCTGTGCTGATGTTGCTACATGCCTTACTTCTTGCCTATCTCACACTGCAAAATTTCTAAAGCTCTATACTAAACATTAAATCTGTTACGAAAAAAGAACTAAACAAAATGAACACAAAACAATCAGCTTTAAAAAAGGACTCGTAACTGGAAAAATTGAATGAAAAAAAGAATGTTAACAACAAATACTTTTTCATACTCACCCCAGTTCTGCGGAATCAGAATCAACGTTGAGTTTAAGCAAGCGAATGAGCCAATTGGAGTAAAGTGCCATGCAGATTTTAATTTTTCCCACTTGTGATTAATGCAGCTATCGATTTTTTTGCATGCTAGTTAACATTCGTGTCAGTCAGCTGTTGGCTCTCACGCTGGCCAATAGAATCTTCCTGCCTATTTGTGGCAGCCAGTTATAGGCTCTCATTCTGGCCAGTAGAAAATGGCCGCAAACTACATGAAAACTGCCGTAGAAGCATGAAAAAATTGATTATTTCCACTATCGATGGGAGTTGGGAAATGCAAAAGTCGGTCTTGGCCTTCCTGCTAACTTGGAGCATGTGCATGTAAATTTTGGCAAATCCATCGAACATTGCGCCATGCATTAAATTACACACACATCCTGCCTTTTATAGATAGAGATATATATATTTCACGACATATATATATATATATATATATATATATATATATATATATATATATATATGTGTGTGTGTGTGTGTGTGTGTGAAAAGCAATGTGTTCAAATGGCAAATATTCAAAAATAAGAAAGTAACTTATTGCATCTTCTCAAGCTAATATTTTCTACTGATTTGAAGTGCAAAAATTATATTGAATCACTTGCTCGGTCTGCTGCTAGGAAAGTTGGTTCACTGTGTTGGCTAGACAATTTTTCTTGTTAGAATCTATCTTACATATTTAGAAGCTGTCCATTTGTCCATGCACTGAATATTACTGTCACACTTGGTTTAGTGCTTCTGCTATGTATTTAGAGATTCTTGATAAAATACAAAGAACAATCTGCAGTTATTGGTCCTAACATCTTGGCTTCAGTCACTTACACACTACTGTAATATAGCTTCCCTCTGCCTTTTCTATAAATATTTTCATGGTAATTATTCTGATGAGCATTCCTATTTGCTACCTAGATTCTATAAATTTAAGTGCCGAAATAGATTGACGTCAAGATATCATCTTTTTACAGTTGACATTGTAAAAACTGTACATTCTATGCTAACAGTTTCTTTTCTCGCACTTCTCGCTTGTGGATCTCTCTTCCAGCTTCTTGCTTTTCAGTCAACTTTGATCTTTAAAAATGTAAATGCAATATTGTTATCATTTTTCTTAATTCCTGTTCTTTTATTGTACTCTCTCTTTAATGTTTTCTTTTTTTCATATTCTCTCACACTCATTAACCCTTTGTCTTAGTGACTTTATTACCTTGGTTGTTATTCTTGCATAACATTTGTTCTTGGTCTTTGATAAATTTTAAACTTTAATAAATGCTGCTTACCTGCACTGAGGATATTTTGTCCGTTTTCTCCATAGTGTTGGATTTTAACCGGTGGGGCACTATGACCTTCCCTTTGTCTTAGTAAACGAGGTCCACCATCAGGCATATCGAATATCCAAACCTGCCAAAGTAAAAAAAAAAATGACAAATGGATTTGCTAACATTAATCATCACTGATAAAATTTAAATTGTTTAATTAAGATTCCATAGAAAAGCACAAAGATAATGAAAAACTACCTGTCCCATAATAGTTGGTACATTTACTGTAAGAAATGTGTGTGTAAACATAATATTTATTATAGGACAGAGGTAGTTTTTCATTAAATATTAATCTGTAGTCAAATGAAAATAGTTTTTTAAAAAATGTATGAAATTATGAAAATATTTTTTTCATTTGGAAAATGAAATCCAACATAATTTTTTGTTTTTTTTTCAGATGGGAATCTTCATTTTTGTTGTTTCTATCCTTCTTCCACATTGGTTGAAATTTAAGACAACAAAGATGGAAAATGTTGAGGAGAAAATTGGACAAGGTGGAAACTATCTCAATTCCTTATCCATTCATCTTTTGTAACTTATAAACATAGTGTGTCAATATATTCAAGCATAATGCTTCTATTTTAAACATTTTTTTAAAATATTTACTCAGTTTATAACTGAATTCCATGTGGTCCAACAATTTTCTTTTGAAATTTATTGAGACATGATTTTTAATTAGAAATTTTATTATGAAAAAAATTAAAAAAGCATTTTGCTCTTATCAAAATATCCTCCTTTAGCCTTGATCACTGCAGCACAAATTTTTGGCATTCATTGCAAAAGTTTCTCAAAATATAAGTTTGATAACTGATTCCATTCTTTTTTCAATGACTCTAAGAATTCCTTTTAATTATTTTTTTTCACTCTTCTGTCAAGTTCATCCCATGCTAAGTCTGGAGGTGGCTTCAAACTTTTGAATTGTAGTGTGTGTGTGTATATATATATATATATATATATATATATATATATATATATATATATATATATATATATATATTACCTGATGATTGAGTTTATCCTGAAACAGACTAAAGTCAACACCCAGGTGACAATGTCCAATTTTATATTTATATTTACAAAGGTCTGTCCCTGATTTTCAGAACTTTAATCCATAAATATAGCATACCATATATATATATATATATATATATATATATATATATATATATATATATAAAAAAAGTTTATTTTCTGAAATCATAAAAATTAACACTGGCAATTTTAAATGAAGCAGTTGTTAGCAGAGGAAAACCCCTCTTCCCACAATTAAAACAGATAAAAGAACCTACCTTAAGCGTATTGTCTCCAGATGAGGTAACCATAAGTGGCTCTGAGAGTAAACAATACATCCCACTTACAGAGGATCGATGAGCATCTCTAACCTGGCACTTTATACGTTTCTGCTCCAAATCCCACAATACAATGTGACCAGGAGCACTTCCTGTGATCATAATAGGATGGCCATCTGATGGGAAAAAATAAATAATATATATATATATATATGTGCATGCATACAAAATTTCAGCCCAACCAAGATTGCTTTAGAAAAAAAAAAAAAAAAAAAAAAAAAAAAAATTAAATCTAATGTTTGGTAATTTGGTCAGATCTTATGTTCTTATAATTTCATTTCTTTTCTTTTCTGGACATTAATTATGTTGAAATTGTCCAAATGTTCTGTATGTCTGAGTGCTTTTGGCTATTCTTTTAGCCATTATCATTTAAAAACATGGAGACCTATCAAACTATCTGCAACATACTCAAAGACAATACAGATATAATAGCCTCATCCACATGTAAAAAAAAAAAAAAAAAGTCTAAAAATAATGGAAGTATTATTAATAAAAAAGAAAAGGCCAACACCCAATAATACCAACTATGAACACAGCCAAAATGTGCTGACTGTGTTTGGAAAATAAAACATCCCTATAACTCTAGACGCATGCATAAAAAATCCATACATTCAGTTAAAAGTAATAATAAAAAAAATCATCCTTGATAATGGCTAAAAGACATACAAAACATTTAGACAATCTCTACATAATTTATACCCAGAAAAGAAGAAAATTATAACACAAGAAAAATTAAATAAAAAACTTAACCACAATCAGTCATTTTTAACAAAAATTGTATAGAAAGAGGGATTGCTGCCCAAATACACAATCATATATATATATATATATATATAATTATAGTAAGGAGATTGTGTTTTGCCAATCTACAAAGTGGGTATGGTTTGCCTAGAAAATCAGTATTCAAGTTTCTTAAGAATAATTCAAAATTGCTTTGCCATGAAATCCTTCAGAGCTGAGAAAGTCTAAAAACATTGCCGGCTTATATGCTGCTTTCCTGTGCTTAAGGTGGGTACAAGTTCAAATCCCGCTGAAGGGCACATTTTCTTTATTAAAGATTCTCAAAAACCAGGTTGGTAGTTGAAAACATACTGTATACAATATCATACAACAGAGACGTCTACTCAAGCAAGAGTAGCCACTAAAGATAATGTATATAGTAATATATAATAATAATGATAGGGGCACTGGTACACATAAAAATACATGTTGTTGCACTTCAAATGTGGTAAAAAAAAAAAAAAAAAAATTGACACCATAAATGAATATACAAATTCATGACATCACACAGTGTAATTAATCAATTAATGGGTGATTTTTGTATGATTTTTTTTACAAACAGCCTGAGGTGTTACAAAGTGACAAAACTTAAGTTGTCAGTTTGTGAGTTTTGAAATTGTTTTTTCATTTTTCATGATTTATTGATGTTTTATGTATAATTTCTTTTCGGCAAAAATATTTCTGCCTCCACTCACCTGATCTGAAAGAAATTGTAGTGACTGCTCCCCAGTTTTGAGAGAACTTTACAATTGTTTCATCATACCGGATATTGTGCACAATGATACGGCCATCTTCAAGACCAATTCCAATTACATCAACTGCAGGAGCCTGTAAAAGAGAAAAGCAAAAAGAAAACAAAATTTCTTAGCAGTTTCCAGAGATTTACTATACTTAGCTTAGCACAGGGCTTGACAATAGGATTAGAAAGATTATATAGTATCAATTTTCTAAGCACAGCAAGGCCTTTCTTGAAAATAAATAAAATTCTGTTCCCCTTGTCTTCCTATCAGGGCTTCAGCAACCACTACTGGTGTTGTTGACATATCCAACCAAGAAGTTACCAAGGCTCTTTTTATAGATACGTAAAAATAATTGATGTTTGTTAAGAGTTATTTGATTGAACTGGCAATTTTAAACTGAAAATTTTAATTTTCTTTAACACATTAAGTTTCTTTTAAAATCTGCAAATTTAAGAGAAAATTAAAATGGAAAAAATTTGTTACTTATCTACTAGTTTAAGGGGAAATAATATAACTAATAACTAATACTATCTGATAATAGACGGCTGAAAGATGTAGCATTATTTAAGGACTTATTTACTCATGTGATTTAAAAAAAAAAAAAAAATACAGCAGATATTAAATTTATTTTTGAATATTTTCTAAAATAAAATGTTTTTATTTTTTTTGTCCATTTACTGTATTGATCATTATTTATGTTTATATTTAGATATACTAGATAGATAATGAAAACCTTTTTTATTTTATATATAACATGGATGGAAAAATAATATTAAAAAATTACTGCCTCATAATAGAGGTTACATTTAGTGTATGAAATGTGAGCAATCTTTAACATTGCAAAAAAAAAAAAAAAAAAAAAAAAAAAGCGGAATGTCAAAGGACAGTTTTTCCTTGAAAAATTATTTAACTAAAAAGCAATGTTTATTGTTTTATAAAATGATGATTAGAATTGTAATAAAATCTAAGCATATGATGAAAATGAATCTATATATTTATACAGACAAAAATGTACAAATTCATTTTCATACTTTTAGGTTTTATTAAAATGCTAATCATCACTTTATAAAACAATAAACATTGCCGAGGAGTGAAGGTAGTTAAAATAATAGTGGTGTTAAGGGAAAAACTGTCCTTTTGACATTCCATTTTTTTTTGCGAGCACAAAGGTTAAAAACTGCTGAAATATGTATGTAAATATAAAAAATTATTTTGGGTCAAAGGTAGTTTTTATTTTTTTTTTAGCAAACAATGGATTTTCTCTAAACTGTTTCTTGGTAATTGGTAAAGATGAAAAAGAAATTGGACAAATAGATTCTACATGAATTGACAAAAAAAAAATCAGAAACTTCATTGTTCTGAGGTCTGCTGATCACTGCTTATTCAAATAACACTTATCTTAAATGTGCTGATGTGATAAAAAAATGAATCTTTACAAGAATCATAAATGCATATTTTAATTAAAGGAATATTTTTGTTTATATGTTTTTTTTTTTTTTTTTATTTTCCTCCCCTTGACATAATCTGATGTTTCATGTAATGTGCACAATCATCATCAGAGTTTTCATGATTATCCATTGCACCTGGTAAATCTTCAGGTTGGCATCTGATGTCTTCACATATTTGCTAAATATGTTTTGAATGGTCAACCATTCCTCATGTCTCAATGTTTTGGAGTTCACAATCAAATATAACTGATAATCTCATCCTTACTTTTCCAGAAATGCCTGGCAAATTTTGCTCTTCTTTCTTGAATGACTTATGAGATGGAAGGTAGATGGCCGTAGAACTGATTTTTGTAGGGGGCTGTGTTCCAGGAACTCAAATCATAGTTATCTTTCAGTAGCTATGGCATTCATCAAAGTAGACCATCCTGATCAGTTTGCATAATATCTTTTAATCTTATTTAAACATGAAAAAGTATTTCAGAAAATGATTTAAATTTTTAAATTATACAAAGAGCTCTCCCACCACAACTAGATTTTTATTTTCCAAGCACCTGCATACAGTAATTTCATAAGTCTAAAAAAGCAGCTGTAGTGACTTTAATAGCAAATATAAATCCATTATTACTAATTATTTGATACCTGTCATTTTGCTGATGGAAAAATGATCAAGTTTCAAATCTACAGTTCGTCTGATGTCATTATACAAATCACATAAAGTAAGTTGAATTTGCTTTGAAAAATTTGTCAAATTTTAAATGATTAACTTAGATGACAAGACTTTAAATTTTTAGGTAATAAATTTGATAAAAATTTTTCAAAGCAAATTTGAGTTACTGAGATTTATGTGATTTGCATAACCTTAGAAAGACTCTAAGTTGTTTGTCTAATTAAAATACTACATTTATTAAAAACTCATTAGAGAACATGTCCAATTTAAATAGAGAAAAAAGTTATAAAAATGACTTCAAAAAGATTCATGCTCTTTTTCCTGTTACCAGACAGAAATTTTAGCCTTCATGATGTAGACATCAGTTTTGATTTCATTCGAATTGTGTGAATATAGACTTGCATGTGTGCATGCGTATTTTAATTCAATGACAGACATAAAAATATTTCTACAATTTTCCAGTTACCAGTATATAGAAATGAATAAACCAATATTGATATATGATAGACATGAATAGTGTGAAATAATTATTGATAAGATACCAACGCTTGCTGTAAGCAAGAGAAAGGGAAAAAAAAATGATCATTTTTATTGTTTTATTTCACAGCCATGTGCATGTAAGCAAAGAGACAATTTAATGGACATTAAGCCATTGATAAGGTTTTCTTTTACTTTCCAAATTCATGATTTTATTACTCAGCCCAAAGCAGGTGATGTCCAGACTGAGTGGGAGGGAATGTCTTATTTTAGTGTCTTAATTAAATTGTGTGTATACGTATACAGTAAATGACAAAGGCACATGTGCACACATGCATACATCATAGACATAAAAATATACATTACATATGTGTGTACAGTCACACACCGTGTGTGATGGACAAAGAATCAGCTGTTCTTTTATAATATATAGATTTGGTTAAAATAAAGAGAATAGTTACCTGTTGAAGAACGGTAATTTTGGACTTCCAGCCAGTAAAACTGTAAATAAGTTTATTGCTTTTCAGATTCCAAAGCTGCATGGTTCCTTGTTTGCTCCCGAAAAGAATTTTGTTTAAATAGGTTACTGGATGGACCAGTGAAGTCACCTGAAAAGTGCTGTTTGAAAATCCAATTTCCAAATATAACTCTGTAAAAAAAATAAAAACAACAGGTAATTGAATCATTTTTGAAGACAAAGTTCTGACTATTAAGCCTATCAACCCATAAGCAATTTCAATTGCTAAATCCCTGAAGTCCTGGCTGAATTGTTGAACATTCTGAATATGTGATGTTATGGGACATCCACATAGAAGAAAGAGGAGGTTTGATTTTATCTTGATTTCAAGTGTTTCTGTTTTACATCCAGCAGGTGAGATCTTCTAAGTGGCATCCACTTGACTGAAGGGGAATGGAAGAGTAAATGAGTGAATTAGGGCTTCTGAGGTCAAGTGGCAACAAGATGTACAATTACGATTTCCTTGCTGCTGGTCTATATTAAGAATCACAGTTGGGATTGAAGAAGCTAATTCTCGTCTCTGGTGGACAACAAACTGTTTCTTGGGTCGTTCCAATGCTGCCTGTATTGTCTTGATGCGTGGATGGACAGAGAGTTGGTAGGAAGGTAGAGCTGAGCTGTTAATTCAACATGGTAGAAGTTGTCCCAAGTGTCACCTTGTCACTTACATACCAAGTGTCATTTTGTCACTTACTCACCCAGACAGAGTAAAACACGCCCTAAATAAAACATCTAAATATATTGGAAACAGGGTTTGAGTTTCTCTTTTCTTAACATGATGTGCATTGTTATCTTTCATTTTCTTGTGAACATACAGCTGGCGTCTGACATAAATGAGAATAGAGATACAATGTGGTGGGGGTAGTCATAGAGGCTGTGTGGAGGAAAGATAGGTGAGGGTCCTGCAATTTGTCTCAAATGTGTGAAATTGATATATATCAAAAACAGTTGAAAATCAAGGATTACAAATTGATTTTATGTGAAAGTCAATTGATTTTTCTTTCAAATGAGACCAAATTTAGTCTTCTTGGTCTCTTTACTGGTTATAAGATAGAGTTTTGGGAATCTACAATTTTGTAAAATTTTTGGCACCTCTAATTGATCATGTGATGGATGTTAATGCTGTGCATTGAAATATGGCGTTGCTACCTGATTTCAGGTGCTGCTGGATTGCAAAGATGTGAAACTTGCAAGTGCATTTGGGTGCTTCTAGCCTTAAAGAGTTAAAATTTGTTTAATCATAGGGTGCTGAGGAGTTGGAGTCAATGTCTGAAATAGAGTTTGTAAAAATGTACCAAATCAAATTTTAAAATAAAAATTTAGAATATAAATAGGAATTTATTAAACTTACCTTTATTTTGGCACCAGATCACAAGTATAAAGCACCCAATGAGGATCAGACTCTCTACACCAGGGATCTCAAACATGCGGCCCGTAAGGAACCATTTTTGTAACTAATATTTTGTTCTCAAATCTTAATAAGTTTAATAGATGTCCCTTTCATACTTTTTGCATTAGAAATATTGAGCTTGACTTACCCAAGAGCAGACAGTCAGTCAATTTTAAGGTTTGTTCTTGTTACTCTGCAGAGAAGGAAACTTAACCTATTCACTTCTATGTAATCTTCATGATGAGAAAATATAAATCTACATTGTGACAATGTCTTCACTTTTTTTAAATTTTATAAAAAGAAATAAATCTGATGACTCATATTAGGGAAAGTAGAAATAAATATTGAATTTTAATATACATTAAAGAATTTTTTTTTATATGGTGAAAAAGGAATAAATTTGGTTACACATGTAGGCATGGGGGGTGGGTGTAGATATTTCAAGAGATCAGAAAACCAATAGAGAATGAAAGTGAAAGTGACTTTAATTCTTTGATTTTGTTCATATCACTTAAAAAAAAAAAAAAAAAAATCATGGCACTCTACAGCTTCCTTTTCTTTAATAGCTACATTACCATTGTTCTTGGAAAAGAGAGTGGAGTGGTTTCCTGTTTTTTCTCCATAGTTTCAAATTCAGAGTTGTCCAAGATTGTTTGCCAGTCAAGGTTCAGATTGATATTTAACCTAAGCTAGGTAAGAAAAGATTCATGCCTTTCCCAAAGGTGTGAGTGCAAAGTGAACATAAAATGTCTCAGCTAAAATTTGAATATGACTTAACAATTCCATCTTCTGCACTGTTAACCACTAATCCAATGCCCCCCTCAGTGCATGTCCTTAGTGAAGTGGGTGGAGAAAAAGAGATAAAAATGATGACCTTTAGTCAAAACTAATATAAGCAAACAGAGTGTGTACCTGCTGTTTTGATGTGCCAAATTTTGACACAACTGTCTTCATCAACTGATATGAGATGATCAGCAAATGGAAGCAAAAGATGAACGTTTCTTTGATGGCCTTCATATGTTCGAATAACCTGACAAAAGATGCAAGGAAATGGATGTATTTTTAGGGAAGATGGACAACAAAGATGGAGGAAAGAAAGTCAAACAACATTTATAAAATTCTCATTTCACAAAAGATAATGTAACAAAATAAATCTTATACAAGAGTATAAAGTTGCACTAATGTAACATTATGAGGTTTCAGATACAATGTTGAATGACTTTTAAAGATATTTTTATGATAACTTAAAGAGAAGGAAAGGGGAACAGTAGAGAAAAGGGGGGAGTAAGGGAAGGGGAAAATAGAAAAAAAAAGTGGGGAAGAAACTAGGTGGGGAAGAAACTAGGAGGGAAAGCAGGAAAAAAGGGAGTAGGATTTGATAGAAAAGATACAGTTCCCTCCATTAAGAAATACTGGCAAAACAACTGATAAAATGAATTAGACAACTCTGTGTTTCATTCACATGACAATCATCAGGTACAGATTGATAACTTTCTGTTGTAAAATGTAAATATTAATATTTATAATCAACTGTTAAGGTAGTAGAGCAGCCTATATATGTGAACATAAGTGAATTTTCTAAAGAAACTAATGGATTTTTATTAATCTGACAGATTCTATCACTTTAAAGATTATTTTTAGTGGATACTCATATTTGAGTAGATGCTCAGTTTATTTATTAAACAGTTTATTTATTTATCTTCATCTACTGGCCTGAATATTTGAGAAAACTTATTAAACCTTGCCAGAGAGCATAAAGTTTTCTTTAACAAGACTTCTCAAATATTCAAGGCCAGTAGACAAAAATAAATATACTGTTTAATAAATAAACAGAGCATCATACAACTACTCACTAAAAATAACATTTAAAGTGATACAAATCTGTCATATTAATAAAAAGTCAATTACTATATATATATATATATATATATATATATATATATATAAAAAAAAACCAAGCAAACATGGAATTCAGTTATCTTTTCACTAAATTTAACCAAAATTAGTTCCAACTTTGATGGCAGATCAACATCTTTAAAGTAATGCTATTTATTTTTTAATAACTTGTAATTAAATTGGAATTAGTATTTTCTAAAATATTAAACTTTTTCTTATCCAAAGACAAGGAAAAATAATATAAAATACAGAGATGTGTGGTTTAACCGAAAAAAACGACTTTTTCGGTTTCATCTTGACATGGTGAAACCACATCAAAATTTTTTACGAAATCAAACAATTTCTGTTTTGTTTTTATATCTACTGAGTGATCATATCCAAAGAAACACTATTGAAAAAGACTTTTTGATTTTAATAAAATTAAATTTTATCAACATTTATACCATTGAAAGAGAAAAAGATTGAACAAAAATGTTAAAAACATTTAATTGACTAATTTTAGGAAATAAATGTGAAATCTATTTGTTTACAACTGAATTGAAGAAGGAAAAAAAGGAAATACAACATGATGTCTGAAATCTAAAAAGTAATTTTCAGTTTTCAAAAAAAAAAAAAAAAAAAAAACTTTTTGCAGTAAAATTACGTTAACAACACAATAGTGAGTAAAAAAAAAAAAAGAAATAGTTGCCAGTTTTGTCTTAATGTTAATTTTATGAAGCCGGAGTTTTTGTAAGGGTTTTCTAGTAAGCCATTACGTCATTCACGAAATAAAGTTGTTGTAAATGAGAAAAATGAATGAAGATTTTTTTTTTTTTTTATAAATAAATTTGTTTTTTATCTAGGGAATGTATCTAAATTAGATATTAAGAATAATTAAAACAGTTCTTAATTTCACTTTTAAGTTGTGTATATTTCCATATATGCAAGTCTCTGTTTTCTACAAATAAAATTATGTTTCTATCTAGTGAATACACATAAAATTAAATATTAAAAAATAAAGTTTTAATCTCAGTTTTAAAATGTGTATATTTTCAAAACTGCAAGTCATTTTTTTTAAACCCAAAGTAAAAATTATTCTTTTTTTAAAAAAAAAAATTATTCTTTTTTAGCCATTAGCGTTCGGTGGATGTTTGTTCTGCCTATAAAATTCTTCTAAACAAGAAAAATTAATTCAGTTTATTTTTACAAATATCTTTATGGTTTTATCTGGTGAATAATGCACTTAAGTAAGATTATATTAAAATGATTAAAATAGTTTTTAATTTCAGTTTTAAAATGTGTATCTAAAAAAGAACAGGTGATACAAATTTGGAAATCTACACATTCTAAAAATGAAATTAAAAGCTATTAATTATTTTTAATATTTAATTTTAGGTGTATTTGCTAGATAAAAACATAAATTTATTTAGGAGACACATAACTCATTGATTTTCCTTATTTAGAAGAAATTTATTTGCAAAACCTCAATAATACTAGACTGGCATACCAGAAAAGAATTGCTGTTCTTTTTTTTTTTTTTTTGTGCTTATTTTATAATTTTTGAAGGAATTTGTTACCTTGGGTCAGAGAAGAAAAGAACATCTTCCCGGTGGTAGTATAAGTTGTCTTCTAATTGAGTGTACAATTTAAAAAATATTGATAAAGATTGGTCATTTTGATTTTGTGAAACAAAGTAACATGTAAAACTTAGTCTCAAAAAAAAAAAAAAAAAATTATTTTGCTTTTTTGGCTGGTCGAAGTAATACCATTTTAACTTGCTGTAAAAAAATAACTCAATGAATAAAAGCACATACAAATTACATATTCAGAAAGATTATACTATTTTCTTTCCAGCCATATGAATATTTTTAAAGCAAAAATACTAAAATAAAAAAACAAAAAACTGAATCAAAAACCACAGTATCACAGAAAACAAAACCGGAAACTGATACTGAAACATAAATTGCCAAATCGACCAACTCTAATAAAATATATATATATACCTGTTTACCCCGATGAAAGGCACGGATGACATTTTTACTAGCTGTGAACACCTGGCGGTCATTAGCAACAAGACACGTGATATCATCCTCATGTCTGTCACCTGAAAGAAAGTTTTTCATAGAGAAATTTTTATCAAGCACATGAATATTTTTTTTTTAAAGTAATATAAATAACCTAAATATTTTGAAAAAATAAAATCCATTTTTTTTTTGTTCTTAATTCAATCTTGATTCCTAAATTTATGGTTAAAATTGTCTGAATTATTCCAGGAGTTATTTAAATGATGATATCTTCATCTTTCTTGTTTTCAGTTCAATGTTGTTGTTGTGATTCTCTTCAGCCTCAAAAAAGAACAGCTCCAAACCAGATGAATTAGATACCAAAGAATGCAGCAGTTGGAACATAATAATAAAAACCTCAATATTTGTTTGAACAAACTGTGGAATAATTAACATGTAAAATTACCAATCAATATTTGGTACACATTATCAAAATCCCATTTTCATTCATTAAATGAAATATTTTTCTTCTTAAATTGAATCTCGTGCTTGTAAAAAATATCATTTTTCAAGCTATTTTCAACTCAAGTGTTTCAAGATGCAACAGTTTCAATGTCTGCTGAAAATCCTTATTTTTCAGTATCTGTCTATATTTCTGAGATGAGGTATTATATACACTATTTACATTATTTGGACTATTGTACTCATCTTTGTCACCATATTTATAACAACATTTCAGCTGTTGTACATTCCGGCCTTCTTCAGGTGGTTGGAATGTCAAACTGAACCCTTTATTTCGCTCACTGGGGTAGACTGTTCTAGTTCCACGTGCCATGTTTAATGGATGTCAGTTATCAGTTATCTCCTGTTAATTTCCCTCTGAAAGTTCTCCACTGCCTTAACCGAGTATTGAACTCACACTCTTTGGGTGCTGTCACTGGATCTTGCCAACACCTTTATCCACTGTGCCATGTGTCCTTGAGTATAGTGTATCCTTATTTTTACATTTCCAATCCAACAAATTTCTCTGAATCCTCCTCATTTGTGTTTCCTTACTAATTTGCTTTTTGTCATTTTTGCAAAAGATGCCATAATAATTTTGGGTGCTTAATTAAAGGCACTAAGCCAAGATTATCAAGTCAATCTCTATTTATAGACTATATATATTTCGTCTACCTGCTTGAATATTCAAGAAATTTTATTAACGAAAAATGCACATAGAACCTGTGACCACTTTGCAGGAAAAAACCAACGTTAGCTCTAATGTGCTTTTAACCAACTCAGCTACAAAGAGTGTTGTGATTAAGCAAGGTTGTATATTGCCTTTAAGCACATCTTTCTTGTATAGATTCCTGAAAGTTCATAGTTCAAGTGATAAAAAATATGTCAAGATTAATAAATGAAAATCCATTATTTCTTTAAAAATTGCTTTGTTTAAGTTTTGGATATGAAACTGGGCACTTATGAACTTTTGGGAATTTAAACGAGAAAGTTGTGCTTACAGGCAGTGTACAACCTTGCTTAATCACAATACTCTTTGTAGCTGAGTCAGTTAAAACATGTCAGACCTAATGATGGTTTCTCCTGCAGGATGGCACATTTTTCTTAGTGAGTAAAAAAGTTACATATGACAACTAGTTTACCTGTACAGTAAAAAAAATAAATGACGGCGATAGTTTTACAATTGTATTGATTGTTTTCTGCATAAATAAGTAGGATGTGTAGGTGGTGTAATGTATATCAGAACAAAGTGGGAATTGGCAGAGTTCAAATGCCAGCTTAGTTGCATTCATTTTTTCACAAATGCCTTTGAGAAAGGCATGAATCAATCATTTCTCTCTCTCCAGCTATCAGTTAAATAGCAGGGTAGACTGGTCTCTCTTGCCTTGAGGTGGAAATTAGTCTCAGAGAAAGAAAACTGAATGTAAATAATATTAGTAAGTTGTAAATTAAATCTAGAAATTGCTTTTTTTCTTCAATATTTTAACATTATTTCCTTGACAAAATTCTTGCTATGATGTGTGTTGTGAAAGAGATAATCAGTTACCCCAAAAAAAAGTTTGTGTTCTGTATTCAGTACTTACTAATGTCTGTGATGCCAAGCTTGGAACACTGGGAAAAAAAACAAAAAAAACAAGAGATATTCATAAATATTCATAACAACCTGCATCTTCAGCATCATTCAAATACATAAAATCCCACAATGCATTTTTCAAATCCCAAATTCACTTGTTCATACAGCTACATAACTAAACGAGGAATTGTTTTTGTAGATAATGAAGGAAAACATCAGATCAGCTACACTTTCTGAAACTTCAAACCACATTTGTAAGTCATCTTTTTTTGTCTGGACATAAAATAAAATTATCAACAAAAGTATAGATATAGATTTATAAATGTAGTCATGAAGTGAATATTGAATTACTGAGGTAACCTGCTGTCACTTGCAGCCAATTTGAGATTTTGTCATTTCTATAATATTAATTGCTAGTTTAAGCAAATTTGAGATTTGTGGGATCTAATGAACAAAATATTAAAAAAAAAAAAATTAACTGATTAGCTTGGTTGCCTGTTCAAAGTAAAAATGGATAATCTATAACAATTAAAAGAAAATTAAGTATTTTACTGATGGCAAATGTCATGTAAATTACCATTTTTGCACCCAATAAGAGAAAAATAAAGGATCCTTTTTATTTTTGAACTACACCATCTAATCACTAGCCGATGCCACTATAAGTTTTTTTTAATCATTTCACACCAAGTAAGACAATAAAGCCATTAAGATGAAAGGGATTACTGAGTGTGAAAGAATATGAGAAAAAGAAAAACATTATTAAGGGGAGAGAACAATAAAAGAATAGAAAATTAAAATAAGGTAAATTCAGATCATTTCCTCAAACTCTTCTTTCAAAGTACTCTTTTCATAAATAAATTCATTCATAAATAAATTTGTACTGAAAATTTTCTTGAAAGCAGATAATTAGCTGATTTTTGATAGATTTTTAAAAGCTGAGTGTTTATTGACAAACTTTTCTCTTGCAAACTCTATCACATAGTTTTATACAGTGTAATTGACTTTTAAAACACAAATATTTCAGGTCTTTTACATTGAATTTAAATAATTTTTATTTCAAAATTTTCTTGAATCTTTCTTGCAATTGACACAATGATTATAAGAATAAAAATATTTTTATACAAGTTTAGGGCATTTTATCATCACCTATCACTTTTGTCAAAAGTAAGATGATGAACCTAGAATGAAAAAATAAAATAAATTTATGTGGTTGAATGTTAAATTTTAGTGTCATTCTTTCAATGCACAGAATTTATGATATTTTAATATACTGACAACTTTGAGCAGCACACCTCACTGCCAGAGAATTAACAGTTTAAAAAATTTGTGGTAAAATGAAACTAAAAAAAAAGTAAATCATCATCATCATCAATCCCTTAACCGGGTGTGGTCACAGGGTTGCTGCACAAGTGAGCACCTGACTATTTCCCGCCATATTTTGGTTGCATGCCAATGTCTCTATGAATGATCTAGTTGACTATTTTTTCCCTCTGTCTGCCTCCCCTTCTCTTATCTAGAGTGTTAGCTCTTATGATGTGGTTATATATGATTTAACTTTCTCTGCTTGACTGTGGATAGGAGGTTTTTGGTGTCTCACACTGCATCATTTGTGATGTGGCCTAGATAGAGGATGCCTAGAATTGTACTGTAACATCTCATTTCTAATGCCGAGATTCTTTGATGCAATTCTACTGTTAATGTCCAAAATTTGCAGGTGACAGAGATATTGAGAATGTCAACAGTCTGATCCTTGATTTCAAGTGGATGCTTCTTGCCTTTTGATTTTTCCAACAGGTTCCATTGTTTTTACTGCTCTTGAAATGAAATCAAATGGATCAAACAACATTTCTCAGAGATTGAAAGCATTTCAAATTGTGAAAGATCTCAGCAAGTAGAAACGGTCTAGAGACTCAATATCATCCAAGATGAAAAGGAAAACAGCCTTAAAAATTCTAAGGGCATCATGGAAAGATGGATAGTCAGTACTATTGCGAATTGTAGAACATGCATGTCAAATAAAACCCTGATGCCCTTTGTAGTTCCAGAATCCTCAAATTATGACCACTTCCCCATACATATGAAAGAAGTGGAAGCAGCAAAAATCACTAAAGAAATGTAAGGCAACTTCAATTGACAGAATATCCCAACTGAATTCATCACACATGGCGGTGAATACAGTGATAGACATGCTAACAAAAATCTGTAAACAAGATCTGGAAATCAGGCAAATGAAGGTTAAAATACCACTTAAAAAAATTATAAGACTAGATAAATAAATACGTTGACATTTTTTATCCTAAGAACATTCAGCAACCTGTTGATGGTTTTTGTTTTATCTTAATTTCAAAGATGGTGATAAAAAAATGACATTGCTACTACTAATTAATTTAGAGTCTTTTCTGGGTAATCAAGCCTATTTGATGAATGAGAAATAAAGAAAAAAAGGCTCGTTATTTACATAAAAATAGGCAAAAATGGTCTAGTTTAGCATTTAATTGATTCTCACTAAAAGTTAATTACCTGAAATAAAGAAAGTTATATCCATTAAAAAGAAGGAAAATATATTTTCATAAAAATACACAGATTTCTTTAATAAAATATTAACTTGAAAATGCAAAAATATTCTTGGAAAGGAAAATTATATATTTTTTAATTTTAAAGCATTTAATTAAAAAAAAGTGGCTTTATAACACGGAGAATTCAGGTTAACATTTTAATAATTTTTAATAGATACATTAAAACTTTAAATCACGATTTTTCTTAAATTCTTTCAAAATTGCACTAAACTTTTAAAATTAAAGAAGACATACTTACATTGTAAGTGTGAAAACTTTTACCGACGCTTGTGATGACATAATGCTCTTTTGTTTTCTCTTGGTATCTGATCGCCAATGGAACGTGATTACTTACGTATCCTAAGGCACGATAGCCCGTAAATATTTTACTCGCCAAAGGCATTGTGCAATATTCAAAATCATTTAAAAACTCTGAAAGAATTGAAACATGAATCCACACGTGGAGATACCGGAAGCGGTGATTTCATGAATTGTCTCCACTATTAAAATAAGCCAGGAACATTTTTTTTCATTTTTTAAAAGAAATTGTTAGCAAAATATCTAAAAAAGAACAAATGAAAACGATCAAATTGAAAATCGAGAAATATGAGTTTTCTCTTGAAATGTAGGATTTGTTAAGTTTATTAAAAATTTCTAGTCAAATAATAATCAGACCTTTTTGATTTTTTGCAGTTTGCATTGCTGAATTCGGCCTTTGCTATATTTTGTTACAGATAAATTAAATATTAAATCTTTTTCTAAAAAATGTGTCAAAATCTTTGCACAAAAAAATAAATTTGTCCTAAAACACAACCAAGTATCAGAATGGCGTCATTTTTAATAAATCGAATATAAAAGTAAACTAAAAAATAAATCGTTTATTAAGTATACTTTTTGTTATTGAATACACCGCCCTTGTAAGAAGATGTCGTTGATTTGAATTTGAACAATTTGCTTCCTTAAACGGTACTACAGAAAAATAGTCCCTTCAATATAAAAAATAACAGATTAGTTTCGGTACTGGTTTAAACGTAATAGTTGGCTTGGTGTTCTTATAATACTCGAATCATGATTTCGTTTCTGCAGGGCGAACCTCACTACAAAAACAAAAAAAGTGATATTTAGCTACCTCCCCACGAGGGTTACATGTAGCACAAGGCCGGGTTTAACGTGGGATCTCCGAGCCCGTAGGCTCGACCAAAAATATTCCCTCTTTGAACCCGCATAAACGGGTTCAGGGGCAGTCAACCACCATGAACGAGACTCTGCCCTTCGGCGGATCCTCGTCCGGGTTCCACATAAATGCCAATTTATCCCCTTACTACTGGGAGAACCTTTCCAATTTAGGCTTACCATATGTTCCGAGCCTCAAATTAAGACAGTGTTCAATTTCTGATTTAGGTTTTTAATAATAAAACTGGGAATTACCTCCACCTTATCTGCCAAGATACCTACTAATGATTGTTCTATTAAGGACTATACAAGGAAGGCCTTTCTCTTTCTGCTTCAAGATGTACTAGCAAAAACATAGAACTTGTTCCTGACAAAGGAAATTTCAGTAATGTCTAACCTTCTTGCCTGCAAAAAACATTGTGTCAAAAGGGTAGTTATTCCTTTGACACTACTATTATTTTATGCTTTTTTGACTCTAAGGAAATGATTTGTCAACCTAAACTATGATAAAATAGCTTGAGTATTGGAACTGCATTAAGAAATAACAAATAGGTAATTCAACTTTTGTCGAGGTCAACATTTGAGGAATAATTGATTAACCCAACTCACCATTTGAGAACGTACAAATAATTATAAACACGGTTTATCATTGTTATGTTACTTAATCAAGATCTCTTTCTGATTCACAAATACATTTCACAAGACATGTTTGGTGGATGTGAGCACTAAGAAAGCAAAACTCAAAATAAAAAAGTTGTCTCTATGCAGGGGCTCCAAGCATCACATCCAGTCCATGAAACAAATGCCCACAAAAATCTAAAATGCAATAGCCAATCACATACATTGCCACCAAAGAAAAGTTAAATGACAGATATAAAAAAATGCATGCCTTGTTAACAACAGGCTGTTCTCATGACAGACCTACCAGCCCCTCCACACACCTCACCAGTGCCGCTTTCAACCTTGAAGACAGATTGATCAACTCCACCAATGACACCTCATTCATATTACCTTGTGGCTAATCCACTTCCGACTTCTCTTCTGTCACCACTCATTACCTTGGTTGACCAACCCAACAAATTGGTTAACTCCTGGCATTACTGACAACTCCCTTATACCTAATTGCTTCCCTTACCAACAACAACTAAAGAACCATGTATCATCAATTTTGCCACCTTTTCACACAACTATGTATATATTCTGAAAATCGATCAATACACACTGTTGAAATTTTAATTCTTGTTTGTTCTTTCCTTTGTAACCATATGCTCATTATAACATAGTAAACATAACATTTAATGTCACAATTTAAGAGGTTACAATGAAAGGAAGAAACAGTACTTTTTGTGTGTGTAACATAGAAAGTTTGTATTTGCTTCATAAAGAGTCTGTAAGTGAGTTGCCTCTTAAATTGAACGTTTTTTCCTTTGAGCTAGATTTATTGAGAAGTTGTTTGATTCCTTGAGTAGCATGTGTCCAATTCATTGTGTAGCTGTTGTTTTATTTATTGAGCAACATGTGTTCAATTCCTTGAATTGTTGTTGTTGTTCAATGTGTGTTTGACATCTGACCAGCTGGTTCAAAACTTTTGTCATAACTGCTATCTAGACAACATCTGGTTTGTTTTATATCTGTCTGTCCATCTAGACAGGAAAACTTTTTGTGTGTGGGTGGTCTGTGTGGGTGTTTACTTTTTGCTATGAGCTGCTGCTGCTTGTGAGTTATGATGATTGTAAAAAATAGTATGATTCAAACATATCCTATTTAATGAAGTTTTATTTGGTTAAATTAAGGATATGTCCCTACAATGACATGATTGATAAAATTTGAAAAATACTTATCAATATTTCATTATTGGTTGGTTCCCTGCAGTATCATTTATTTTGCATAAATGTATCAGTGGACAATTGAAATAGTATTGTATTACTATCCGTTGTAGGTTTAAATCTGTTCACAGAAACAGTATCTGTTTTTTGAAGTGTCAGGGAGTCAATGATTGTTGAATAGTTTCTGGGTTTCTTGCCCTTTATTACTTCTGGCTACCATGGACCCTTACTTCTGGCATTCCTAGCCTTTATTATTTCTGGTTACCAGAGACTATTACTTCCAGCATTATTATCCTTACTACTTTTGGCTATCTTGGATCCTTACTTTGGCAATCTAATTCCGGTTACCACAGAACATTATTTCCAGCTACCATGGTACCCTTACTTCTGGCATTCCTAGCCTTTATTATTTCTGGCTACATCATGGTTCCTACTTCTGGCATCTCTATCTCAACCTAACCCACCTGGTTGATCGACATTAATAGACCTGTTTACAACAACCTCGAACTTCCAGCAACACTAGGTCCTTACTTCTGGCTTTCCTGTCAACCTAACTCACCTGGATTAGGAAATTGCTGCATGCATATTGTCCAGACTCAAAAAAACCTACTCCGTACACTTTGATTAAAATACTACAGAAGGTTCAAAATCAGACTTAACCAGCAACTACTCAACACCAGCACCAGACATTTAAATTGGACTTTCTTCTCTTTGGCTATATTGTCCAGACTTCAAATAACCATCTCCGTACACCTCAGTTTAAATACTATGGAAGGTACATCATTGGACTTAACTAGCAACTTTCAACACATACAACAGACGTGAACTGAACTTTCAAAATGTTTGACATACATGCCAACTGAACTTACCTGAACTCTACTTTTAACATTTAGTCATAGATATATTATCTAGATCTTTGAGCTGGTCAGTAACCCTTCAGTTTACTTAATTCTGCCTCCATTACTTGAGTCATTGTTTTTTGATGTTCCATTAATCAAAACATATACTTTTGTATACGATGTAAATAAATTTTGTATTAATTTTAAGTTAGTTGCTTGTTGTCCTCTTGTTGACCTGTCTGATTTCATGTCTTTAATTTATAAAATGTTAGCAGGCCTCTTGTGACATCTATCTCTTGCTGGGGTGCACAGGTCATGTTATATTGTACCCTCTCCAGGGGGTCCACAACACATATAAATAAACATTTAATTAATCAAGAAAAGTTAAAGTGATTTATCTGGTTCATAAATAAATATTGATATAAATAATATAAATTATTATATAAGATATAAATATTATATAATATAGTATTATACAAATTATCATATATAACAATTTATTATATTATGATTTATAATTAATTATTCATAAATAATTTGTATATTTTCATTAGATTATTATTAATATGATTATATTATTATAATATAATAATATAAATTGTTTATAGATAAATAATTATAATTTAATAAATAAATTATCTATATCTATAAAACAGATGTCTGTGTGTGTATGCTATTTATGCATGTCCACATTTCTTGACCAATTCCAATGAAATTATACACACATATTGCAAATTTACTAAAATAGGTCAAGACTAATTGTTCAATCTCCAAGCCCTCAGGGTTTGGCAGAAAAATTGATAAAACAGAAGGTAGTTACAACTTTTTGCAAAAACCATGGCAAAGTTACACATGAACAAAATTTTTACTGGATGAGCTGATGTTCTTTGCACTTAATGCATGTAGGAGAAAAAAAAATAAAAAAATAAATGATGATGAGGTGGGGATCAAAAAGTGCAGTGCATCGCTCACTGGCAGGCCAGCTATTTTTTTTCTTCTTCAGTCACATCAAGGAAATGGATTGTGTGACTCCCTTTCTCAGCTGTCACACTGGGCAGTTATGAAACAGGCACCAACTCAGTTGCGCCTACTTCAACTTCATGTTTGTCCGTCTGTCAATCTGTATGTCTAACTCTATTACACGTAATCCACTGAATGACTCCCTGATGCTTGGTGCTGCTGGCAGCCAAAATTTGCATGAAACTTTGTCATAAGTTGAGGAATCCCTGCATATGTTTTTGTTAAGATAATTAAATTCAATGACTTTTTTTTGGTTGTATTCTATTTTGCTATTTTCACTGGTGTTTTTGGTCAGCAATGTTCAAGTGAAGAAAAATGAGGGGAAAAATAACAATAAAAACATTTATGCTCCAAAAACTTTCTCCAAATATTAATGACTCATTGTAAAAAACTAAAACAGAAAGTTTGGAAGTTTGATCTTGAAATTCAACTGACAACTCCATTTATACCCAAATCAATTGAATGTGAATAATCTACAAGTTCAGATTGGGATCTATTCTCATTTTACAATGGGTATAAAGGGATTCCAACACTGTGGCAGATCTATCTTCATTATGCTATGGGAGATAGGGTCAGTGTAATATTGACACCAGCATGACAGTGATTGTACAAGCTGGGTAATTTTTGTCCTTGGCCCGTATGTATGCTTAAGAGCAGCCCATATTAATAAAACACCTTGTATCACATTCTACCTTTGTAGGGAGGTCAGATGAATAAAACTTATAAGATGGATGCAAAGTCTTTGGTTAACATTAACTTTTGCTTGTGGGTGGGAAAAATGTCAGAAAAATAAATAATAATTTCCTTTTAAAATCTTTATTAAAATAAGCAATATTTTATTTAATATTTTATTTATATCCTAATAAAATAAATAATTTTGCCTTTTATCACCAACATTTAGTTTTTATTAAAGTATTATTTTGTGAGTATAAATTAAATGTTTTTTTATTTTATGATATTTACTTAATTAAAATGGCTTACAACCATATCATGTTGAAACACTGATTCTCATACAATCACCAAAGTTAAGCAATGTCAAGCCTGGTCAGTACCTAGATGGGTGACCACTTGGGAATACCAAGTGCTGTAATCTTGGATGTGTGGGTGGTGTAATGGACAATAATTTAGAATTGGAAATTGCAAAGCCAAGGTTCAATTCCAGTCAGGTTTGTTATATTCGCTTATGTAAGTGAATATAACAAACCCTTGGATTCATATATTTCCCTTGGAAAATGTATGAATCCACCTTTTCTCCCCCAAGCTATGGGTAAATTAGTTGAACTTGTATCAGTAAGATTCATTATTATCTCCAAAAACTTCATGCAATCTAAAAATATTTAAATAAAAATCTTTAAATAATCTGCAAAAGATTGATAAGCAATAAAAACAGATCAATCCGTAAATAAATAAAATACTTAATTAAAACATTACTTATTTGAATGAAAATGTTACTTATTTTCTCTTACATTTTCCAATCTAGAAGCCAAAATTATGCCCAGGGCTGGTGCAAGGGTCTTTTGAGCCCCTATCAAATCTATAATATCGGGCTCCTGAATTTTATGATATGGAGCCCACTCCCACACTACAACTTCTCAATGTACATAAGATAGGATTCATATAAAATACACATTTTATTGTAACTTAATTATGTACAATAATGAATCATCTGCAACATAAGTGAACAATTCAACTAGAAAAACTGAAAATAAATACAATGTATGTAAATACAAATTAGTGACATGTCATAATAGATCATATTAAATCAACAATGCTTTGTGGCAATTTTTAATATCCACTTGAAATTTTTCTTATTAAAAATTTGAATAATTTTAATACATTCAACATTATGGATGAAAAATAGTGAATTTTATATTTTGTTTTTTTTTTTTAGACTTAACACGAGCAAAACAAATTCATGGATTTGGAAAAAAAAAAAGAACCCAGGATTAAGTTAAAATCCATGAAAAATTTCATCCATATATATATACTTTGTAGTTTAATTTGTAACATATATAAATATAGGTGGAAAAAAGCTAATACTGATAGCAAGGGTCATAAATGTTACAAGATGAGATCTTGCCCTGCTTCGATAAACGGAAGTTACCATCACGAGTCCCTGACTCGAAATGAAAACTACACGTCTACGCATAGGCTCGACGCAGATACTTCCGTTTGGGATAAACTCGAAAAAAAAATGAAAAGAATTAAATCAACCAATCGGACCGTCTCCCGCGTATTCAAAAAATTGCCATTTAGAGCCGATAGGCGTGTATAAGAACACGGGAAAGTCAAAAGGAGTGTCACTCAACACCGGAGGCAGAAGGGTCACGTCGCTCGCTCCTGACACACTGGCCCGGGCGACGAAAACGAAGCATGTGACTGCTGCTGCTATTGAACTCGTCCGACGCCTTGTCAAAGGGTACCTTTCCCTCAACTTCTTAAATACGAACTTTTTACTTGTTCTTATTTTCCTCACTAAAAGAGATTATAAAATATATCTTCAGTCTTTCTTGTTCTTTCGATTCTGAATTTCATTGTTTGCAACCAAACGCAGTATTTCGCCCACATTGATTTCACATCGCCCACGTAACTAAATACGGAATATAACACTGGTGTCAGGAGTGGGATACTCAGGCCTCTCTCGCTCAGAAATTCTGGAACTCATCAAGCAACAGAAAACAGCGATTCTCCAAACGAAAATCGACATGGAACGCACTGACAACCCCCAAGCACAATCGATCATTAACGAACTAAAAGCAGACCTTCACAAACTTTTAGCCGCTCTGCAGACTACCACACATGATCGCTCACACTCACCGCGATACGCCACAAACTACGAACTATTAATGCGATAGCAATCACTTCAGGACGCCACGAAATCCATCCGGCCTTCAACCAGACAATGACGCCAACCGCTTTATCACCGACCTCAGCAAAGCTTACACGATACACGTTAAGCCAGAGTTGAGCGAATACCCCGAGATGGAGAAAGAATTCGTCAAACTGGCAAAACAACTCCTTAACGAAGGCATCTTCCAGCAGATGGAAGACACAAAACAATCCACAGCTACGTTCGAGGAACTGAAAACTTACCTCGTCTCCACTCACGGGAACCAGATGACGAATTTCCAACATCTGAGTCGGGCATGGGACCTCCAGCGCTGTGACGGGGAGAAATTCACTGATTTTGCAGGCCGACTTGAGAACACAATCCGAGAGGCCACAGTCCACATCAAGGCGAGATTCAACTTGGACAAACAAAATGCCGAGATGACGGCCGACACCGCCTTCTCCCTAATGGGGGCCATGCTCATGAGCGAAAGGATCAAGGCATGGGCACCCAACATTTATCCACACCTCGTCAAAACCATGGATAGACACTACTCAGCGGGCGGTATTGCCAGCGACGCCGCAACGCTTTCGATCGCGCATCAAAACAGACATGACCACCTCCGTTGAAACAACTGCATTGATTAAGAAGCCAACCTGCAAACTCCGCAAGTCTCACAGCCTTGAAAGTGACAGAATACTAGCCGACGAAAGCGACAATTGCTGGACCTAAACGAGCAAATACGGCAGGCGACAGGCACGACCCAACCACCATCAACAGGAACAATCAGACCGCCCCTCCTCCAACATGAATCACAGCCAGACGCAAAGAGGCACTGGCCAATCCGCCACCCGCAGTATGCAGAAACTATCTACGAGGCCGTACATGCTTCAAGGATAACAGATGTCCCTATTTTCACTCTCCCCACGCTCAAGCTCACATAGCGACCACTGATACCACCTTACCTGGAGCAGACAGTGATCCACATAAGCAGGTCGCCGATGCATTCTTCGCTTTCCACACCACTCCCACCATCCCTGTTAAAGAGATCGCCGACCACATGGGTATTGCGGCCGAACAAGCCTCTGATGATACACTTTCAAAAATCATCAGAGCCCTCCAGTCGACAGATCCAAGACCTGACACTACCATACTTGATCCCAACGATCATCGCACTGCACTTTTCAACAAACTCTTGCATCAATTCTACTTGGAACCGGGAACGTCTGTACTAATGATCAGGGACGCTGAGAACACACCCAAGCTGGTGGTACCTTACAAGCTCCGTGCAAAATATCTCCACCAGGCTCATGACTGTGTAAACCACTCTGGAATCAGCCGCATGCAGGAACACCTATCCAGTTACTGGTGGGAATATAAAAATCGCGACATCAAGGCGTACGTCCATTCATGCCAAACCTGCGCTAAACGTAAGGGGAATTACGGCAGGCATCCAAACTGGCCATGGGCCATTGTAGGCGAGGCAGAAAACTATTCGGGGCTGTCTACATAGATTTTGTCTCAATGCCCCTCTCAAAGGGTAAACGGTACATTCTCACTATCTTAGACAGCTTCAGCTGACATCTCATGGCCATACCATGTGCTAGAGACCGTGCAATCGACGCAGCCCACGGGCTCTACCAGTTCTTCCTCCATCATCGGGAGATCCCCCGCATCGTGTCCTCCAACCGAGGAACCCACTTCACTGGCAAGGTCTACAAGGATTTCTGCGACCTAACATCGATCACTCGGGAACTTCACTGTCCATGGCGACCACAAAGTTCGGGAAACATCGAACGGCAACACCGGACCCTCAAAAACGCCCTCTACATCATCTGCGAAGATAGAAACTGTGAATGGATGGACGTCCTTGAATCCGTAGTTTCCTCCATGAATGCCACCGGCGCATCTCCACATTACATAATCACTGGTCGTCGACCATATATCGGACTACCAAAGATACCACGTCAAGATATCATCAACAACAATCCTGGTGCTTATGGCATGCAGATAAATGCCCTGCTCCGACAGGTACACCAAAGAGTTGCTCTGGCAAACAACGAGGCTGACCACAGAATAGAAGCCAAACTGAACCATAAGATTTTCAAGGACCCGATACAGGTCGGCGACAAGGTGCTACTCTACCGACCTCAGTCCACTATAGCCCACTCATCACATCTGCCTTGGATAGGCGACTTCGAAGTCACCAGAACTAACGATATGGTGCTCCAAGTCAAAAACAAAAACGGGCGAAACCGATTGGGTCCACTGGGACATATTCGTCGGCTCGCACCGTGATCAAATCACTTGCAATACATGAGCCGGTCACCTCCACCCCCATCTCCGCTCCACCAAATCCCCATAACCCGTTGACACGGCCTCCTACACTTTCGTCGGGGGAGCATCATATCACAGATGACTGCAGTTCTGGCAATAATAGCCAAAACACAGCAAAACGGAAAACACGCGGGCAACTCCCAGCACGCTTCCAAGACTTCGTAATGGGCTATAAAAAAAAACAAAAAAAAAACATTCACTCGCACACACCAACAACATTACTAACAAAACATCAAATCAGGGTAAGATCTGGGGGAGCTGTTACAAGATGAGATCTTGCCCTGCTTCGATAAACGGAAGTTACCATCACGAGTCCCCGACTCGAAATGAAAACTACACGTCTACGCATAGGCTCGACGCAGATACTTCCGTTTGGGATAAACTCAAAAAAAAAATGAAAAGAATTAAATCAACCAATCGGACCGTCTCCCGCGTATTCAAAAAATTGCCATTTGAGCCGATAGGCGGTATAAGAACACGGAAAGTCAAAAGGAGTGCCACTCAACACCGGAGGCAGAAGGGTCACGTCGCTCGCTCCTGACACACTGGCCCGGCGACGAAACGAAGCATGTGACTGCTGCTGCTATTGAACTCTCGTCCGACGCCTTGTCAAAGGGTACCTTTCCCTCAACTTCTTAAATACGAACTTTTTACTTGTTCTTATTTTCCTCACTAAAAGAGATTATAAAATATATCTACAGTCTTTCTTGTTCTTTCGATTCTGAATTTCATTGTTTGCAACCAAACACAGTATTTCGCCCACATTGATTTCACATCGCCCACGTAACTAAATACGGAATATAACATAAAGCACTGCGCAGAGCCCACAATCAGGCTACCCATCCCCCATCAGGAGGTTTGTGGGAGTAGTATGCAATGGCCCAACTAATGCCTTTTCAGTTATGAACTTTCCTCCAACTAGAA